CAGCTGTTGTTACAGGTGTCTCCAGACAAGGCCTGCTCCTACCTGGGCCTCTGTACCTCCAACAAAGGTCAGGACAAAGCTAGCTTTTCACGTTGCCCTCAAAGTTTGTGTCTATTTCCATGGCAGGATTCCCTTGATGGACACAATTATACTTCTGGAAATTAGGTTTAATTAAATAGCTCGCCTTAGTGAAAGAGCGGAACTGATTTTGCCCCTGTTGTCCACCCAATGTATTTTTGAAAAGTTGTCAGTGCATTTTGCTATCCGCATGAAGACGTGCAAAAACTATTTTATTAGTCTAGTATGTGTTTTGCCTCTTTGTTTTTTCAATTGAGCTTTTCGATTTTGCTGGCCATCCAACTTTTAGACCAGCATGCAAACGCCTGAGATGACTTGTCAGAACGATATGTTTATATCCCGTATAGGAGTGGTCAGACGAAAGTGAACTAGCTAAAAATATCGACTCTTGGGGTACGGGCAGGATCAGTTGTTTAAAATTCACTGTAGATGTAGATACTGAGTTAAATGTTTAGTGTATTGACTGTAGCTGTGCTTTTTAAAATTGAATTGAGTCTCAAAGTTAAAAGGACAAAGATATGTGTTTTTCTTTGTCTTGAGAAAATCTTTTGTATGGAAATGATGTAATGTTGCTTCATGTTGAGCTGCTATCGTTAAGAAAACAGTTTGTATTTAAATTGTGAAGAAAATGTATTGATTAAAAATTAGTCATGCACTCTTACTCATTTGTGAGAGGGATTTACACAAGATTTCTAGTTTGAATAATGGTTGAAGTGTTCAAAGTATGAAATTGTTTGATGAGTGTACTGATGAAAGAGTAGGATATTATGAGAATATTCATTATTTTTCCACAGTTTCGTCTGCGAATGATGAGAATTGTCTTTTTTCACAGTTTCGTCTGTAAATGATGAGACGTTTGTCTTTTTTCCACAGTTTCGTCTGTGAATGATGAGAAATTTGTCTTTTTTCAACAGTTTCGTCTGTGAATGATGAGAAATTCGTCTTTTTTCAACAGTTTCGTCTGTGAATGATGAGAAATGTGTCTTTTTTCCACAGTTTCGTCTGTGAATGATGAGAAGTGTGTCTTGTGTGAGTTTGTGATGAAGCAGCTGGACACACTCATCGGCAGTAACGCCACAGTGGTGAGTCACCAAGTGTTCATGATGTTAATGTTGTATGCATAAATAAATAAATGAATAAATAAATAAATATATTTCTTCACTCTTATAACGTTTATTGGTAAGTTACATCTCTAAGTGTTGCCATAGCCCCAACTGGAGATGTTTACAACAACTGGTTAGTAGTTACTTGTTTAGATCATATTAGTGCAACATTCCTCAGCTCTTTCGAGTCACGAGGTAGGCACCCTCTGTCCCGCTCCCTAGTGGAGTAATCTTTACAGTGTCACCGAAGGTTCCGAAAGTTTGCACGAAGTCTCATTCTGTGGTGGTGACTTTGCCAGTATTAGTAATGAGGCGTTGACTTAATTGTGCTCAGTTTGGTAATGTTTTCAGCCTCCATCAGATAACATGGCTTCAAGTAAAAAAACTAAGAATGTTATCTGTATTTAGAAATAAGTTGAAATCCCTGTCATATGGGGATAGATCTTTTGCGTTTTCTGTCTCTAAAAACTGAAACACCCTCCCACAAAAATTGAGAGAAACAGAAAATACTGAAAATAAAAAATTCATTTGACAACACATTCTTTTAGACCATAAATGCTGTTTTTCTTTTTCACACTTCAGGGAGTGATTGTACAAAGCTTAGAGCTTGCTTCCTAAAGGAATAGAGCACTATGTAAATGCTTTTATTATTTTTATTATTATTATTATTATTACTCAGATATAATATGATAAGATAATGAGAAGTAGGGAATAAAATGGGAACAGAAGTTCAGATCTGTCTTAGAAAAACAAGTGGTATGACCTCTATTTATAAAAGATTCCCATATGCTGTCGATAAACGCTGTAATCTTTCATCGAGAAACAAGCAACGAGTTTCATTACTTGGGCTGCTCGTCAGAATCTGGCTGTTCTTTCTCTTTTCCTTTTCATACTTACTTACTTACTTACTTACTTACTTACTTACTTACTTACTTACTTACTTAC